TGGGATGCAGAGAAGGAGGCATCTGATCCCCCCTTCTCCTCCTCTGCCTCCTTCCAACATATACCAGCCCCCAGCCCAGCTGCTGGGGCAGGGAGAGTTGGGGTTTTCTTCCCTTCCATCCCCTTCTAAAGGCCATCTGGGCTTCAGACCTGCCTGTGCATCACCCTGTTTGCAAGTAATTGCTACCTGGTCACGCTGGACCAGAAGCAGAGCATGGGTGGGAACAGAGCACAGTGACATTTTTTACTGCCAGGGCATCCTGGGGCAGGGTGGGCTGGGGGCAGCAGGAGCACAGGGAGCTGGGGGTTGGAGGCAGAATGGCTTCCTTAACTCCTGCTGTGCTGAGCAGTGCAAGGCAGTGCCAACACTCTGTGGGCAGGGACTGGGATGAGGGCACGCATGGATGTCCCCTGTTGGGGTGCATGGTGTGGATGGCTCATGTGAATGTCTCCAGTCCTCCAGCACATGTGCAGGGGGATCAGCATGGACAGGGGGAAAGCCAGGTGCTGGGAAATCCTCCCGTTCACCTACCCTGGGTGTCTGTCCCAATCCCATCAATATCGCACCGGCCCCTGGGCTCATCCTGGTGCTCTGGGCTGTGGGTGGGCACCAGCCATCCCTTGGCAGCCCTGTTATCTTTCTAAGCAGGCCGATGGGGGTATGTGGCCATGGCAGGGAATGGGATCCCAGCCCACGCTGTCCTCAGCAAGCTGTCGGCTGAATTACTGGGTTCAAGGGCTTTTTTTAATTTCTCTCTCTCTGTTTTTTTTTTCCCCAATGCTAATAGCTCTGCATTGCACTGGCTACTGATCCCTCATTAATCTGGGCAGTGCTTCACAGCCAGCCAGAGTGACTTTTGGCAGTTGCACAAAGGCAGGCAACGACACGCAGACTCCCCCGGCCAAAAAAATTACCATGTGCAGCCTTCCTCCAACTTTTGTCTCTGTGTGGCGGGAACGCGGATTAAGGAATTTCTCCCTCTGCCTTTGATGCTGTGTGTCTATCCATCCCCCATGACCTCCCCAGTGTGTGTTCTGCCTCAGCTCTCCCTGTCCAGTTGGACCCGGTCCCCGTGTGCTTTTCCATCTGCTGCTGTACTTCTGTGCTGAGCCACGGGCACCCACCCAGGGACTTACCCACCATGGCAAATGTTGGATGTGTCCCCTGGCTGCCCAGCTCAGAAGCGCTACGTGCAGACGTCGTTATGTGTGGGGAGATATGGATGCTGTAGTCTATGCCTTCTCTTTTTGTCTGCTGTCTAAAGAGGGGCTTAGTGCAGCATCCTGCCAGGTCCTACAAGGAAGGTCCTCCAGGTCCTCCAGCCTGGGTCCTGGAGGAACATCCCCCCCCGGCAAAGCATAGCCTTGACCCTGTTGTGCCTGTGATGCCCCATCTGCAAACACTCAGCTGCAGGCTGGCTGCGGCTGGGGAGAGGCAGAAATTGCTCCCAAGAGGAAGCACTCAGCCAGGAGGGCTCTCTGAGCTGGAGAAAACACTCTGGATGGAGCAGCAGCCTGGCCAGGCCAGCAGGACCTCAGCAGGGCTGACCTGCCCGCAGCCTGCTTGCTGCAGGGCTCAGGGAGCAGCCAGGGGGGCTCAGAGGATGCTGAAAGACCTAGAGACACCCACACACCAGTCAGATAACCCCAGGATCTTTCTGAGCCCTGTGCTCATTGCCTGCTTCCAAGGCATCCACAGCCAAGCACAGGCTAGGCTGGGAGAAACAGGCTTGCAGGGGACTGGCAGCTCACCCAGTGAGGTTTCATTTAATTTAATTGGCATTAGAAATTAATTGAGCTTGATCACCTTGGCAGTGTAAATTGGTGGATGCCACAAAACAGCTCTGAGCTTATCCCATCCAGGCGGGTACCCGCTGTGTGATGTGCACGGTGCTGCACATGCATCCCATCCTGCTGTGCCAAGCAGCATGCCTGCGAGCAGTGACTGGAGCCAGTGGCAGAGGCATGAATCCCAGGAGCTGGATGGCAGGGACAGCCTCAGTGTGCCACGAGGCTGTGGGGAGGTGCCCTGCCAAGCACGATACTTTACACAGGCTGGGTGATTCACAACCTGGTGGGTCTCCTGTCTTGCCTACCTTGGGCCTGCACCATGAAGGTGTGTCCTTATGAGAAGAGGGTGCAGAAGTTGTCTCCTCAGCTCTGCTGGGTGCAGCAGTGATTGCCAAGAGCCCGTCACCTCTGAGGACCCTGATGCAGCTCTGGTTTTGGTCCTGGGCTGAGCAGGGCTGGAGCTTGGTGGGGTTGGGGGGATGTGTCTCAGCCAAGACCCCCAAGGGTTGGAGGATGCACAGCCATGTCCTCCAGGAGGGACCGGCATCCTCTTCATCTTGTCTGCATTCTCCTCATCTTCTTTTCCCCATCCTCCCTTCTGCTGAGACCTCACAGGATTTCAGTTTTCACCTATCCCATCAGTGAAATGGTCCAAAACCCTTTTCCTGCAGGATGCACTGTGCCCAGCCCCAGGATGGGAGCAGCCACCCCACCCAGTATAGACTGTGCTGGGGACCTGCAAGCTGCTAAACTGCTCTAAGCCTGACCCCATTATCTGGACAAGAGGCAGCACTTGTGACCCCAGGGCTGGCTCTCAGCCTCTTCGGTGTGCTGGAAGCTCAGGGAGACCCTTCACGGAGCCCCACTGGGGTCACTGGGCTCAGCTGCCCCCCATGCTAGGTTTCTTCCAGCCAGGCTCTGACCTCAGACCCCCTTGGCGGGTACCCCAAGTGGCTGCCCCCATGCTAACAAGTCAGACCTGATGGTGAGACCTGTGGTGCGGTGGGAAGGTGTCCCCTGGATGGTAGGCATGGACTTGGGCACCAGTTGTCCCTGTGCTTTGACTAATGGTGTTTTAGGGCTTAGGCATGTCTCAACTTCGCACAAGCCCTGCAGTGAAACCACCAGCATCCCCTGTTTGCATCCCACTGGCACCATGGGTGTCAGCCCCAAGTCAGCGGTGCGAGGAAAGGCAGGACTTGGCCTCCCCCCATCCAGCCCCAAAATCTTCAGCGGTGAGACAGACACATGCCTTTCTCCGTGCTGTTCCCCTGCTGAGGTTTGGTAGCAGCTTTGCACCTCGCAGGCGGCAGGAGGCCCTTTGCTCCCTGACAGCTGGAGAGGGGACAAGCCAGGCCTGCCTCCAGATGTGCTCCAGATGTGGAGCTCCAGCGGGCTCGGGCCGGGTGGTGTGGGCAGCTGGGAGCACAGAGCCCAAGGGCCCTGCTGTGCCTCTCCACCCTGGGAGAAGGAAAAAGGAAAGGAAAGGCTGTCACCTGGAGCAAGAAAGCAAAAGTGCACCCCTCCCAGGTAGGGATGCCCCAGAGCAGCTGTAAAGGCGGGGGGGAGGGGAGGGGCTGCAGTTTGTGTGCCAAAGGGATTAAATCTGTGCTGGAACGTTGCATCTGCTGTACTGGGGGGACTGGAAAAGGGCTGGGTCTTTCTCAGGGTGGCTTACTGCTTTTCAAGTACCCCTGCAAGCAGCAGAGTGATGAGATCAACCATGCTGGCCACTGGCTGGGCCATCACATGCGTCCCTGCTATGCACACCATCCCTGCGTGTGTAAAGCCGCAGTGCCAGGGCAGCCTTATCCCCCAGGTGTATTGGCCCAGGTACCCCCGGGCACCTCAAAGGTGCAGCTTTTCTCTGTCTGGGCTTCGGGATGTGATCAAGGACCAGGCAGAAGTTTTTGGCTCCATCTTGCTCCTGTTGTCGAACTGAGATCTTAAACTCAGTTGTTGGTGCTTCCCAGGGCAGTAGGATCCTTTGCCTGACCTTGGCCTGCGTGGCTGGGGAGACATGGAGGACCCCACACGGGTTGCACCATGAAGTTCCGCACACCCGTGAAGTGCTGCTTGTTCTGCTCGAGCATGAGCCCCTGGCTGGGCACCAGCACTCACAGATGGGCTGCGTCAGACCCACACCATCCCGCATGCCCCCAGCATCTTTATTATCAACATGTGTCCAGAGAGAAGGTGGTTTGTGTCAGCCAGGGCACAGGGGAAGGACAAGGGGTGCCCTGTGTCCCCCCCATGCCATGAACAGGCAGTGCGGGGAGGGAATGAAGCTGGCAGGGTGTTGGTCCTCAGCCTCAGAGACTGGATGGAGGGTGATCTCCCACACAGCCTCTGCAGGATGCTCCCACCCTGGTCCCCTCCGTGCCCTCAGCACCCTGAGGCCAAGCCTGGCTCCATCCCTAGAAGGTCAGTAGGGTGCTGAGCCCTCCTCCTCTACCAGCCAGGCATGTTTTCTCTGGTGGTGGCCATGCGATGTGGGTGCATTTCTGCTGAGCACCTGCATCCCTCTGTCCTTGAGCAGACCACCAAGTGGATCGGAGATCCCCAGAAGGTGTGGACTCAATCTGGGGTTAAACCATTGCACCGGCAGCCGCATCTCCAGGAGGATGGCAGATCCTCCCATGGCCCAGGCTGCAGTGACAACAGGACAGAGGGAATTTTTTCTAGGAAAGACGGCTGCACTCGGCTTGATCCTTGTCCGAGGGCCCAGCCAAAGGGGTGCAAGCCAAGCTGGTGGGACGCCAGCAGGCACAGGAGCAGGGTGGCCAGAGGTGTGCTGGTGGGGGAAGCCTCCTCCCAGCAGTGGCAGTGATGCCCAGAAAGTTGTGTGCATGCACCCCAGCCGCTGCCCTGGATGTCGGGCTCCCAGCCATCCTAACATGTCCAAGCAGAGCCTGTGTGCACATCTGCTAGCTTCTGGTGACCTCTAGAGGAAGCCGCTCTGCTCCTGCACCGTGAGTTTGGGAGCGGGACAGGGACTCACCAGACCTTTGGCTTAGTTGCAGCTGGAGCATTCTCCCCCTGCATCCCTGTCCTGGGTTCATGCCTCTGCCCAAAACCCCATAGCACTTCCCAAAGTGCTGCAAAAGTCTCGTTATCATCCTCTAGCCAAGCTGAACACACTGATCGTCTTACACCTCCCGGTGCCAAGGGTTCCTCTGACCGTCCCCCCCTCCCCGCTGCTGCCCGCAGGTTGAGCTGTCGGACGGGACATCACACACCATCACGGATGCCTATGCTGGCAAGGAGTACATCATCCAGGTGGCGGCCAAGGACAATGACATCGGCACGTGGAGTGACTGGAGCGTGGCCGTCCATGCCACCCCCTGGACTGAGGAGCCCAAGCATCTCACCACGGAGGCCCAGGTCACAGGTGAGAGCCCCCCTCCCAGTATATACCGGCTGTGCCCACAGCAGGGGGGAGAACTCAGGAGTCCTGGCTCCTGAGGGGACCCCCTGTCTGGCTCTGTGCAAGTTTCACCCCCAGCCAAGGAGATGCCCCCCGGCACCCAGGGGTGCTGCAGCCCTTCACCCTACACTTTGCCCCCCCACCCATGGCCCTGGGAATGGATGCAACCGTGGCCTGAGGGGTGCTGACTCAGCTCACTGGCTCCAGCATCCTCCTCACCAGGATGCTTGGGGTCTGGTAACAAAGCTGGGATTACTATTATTATTATTACTACTACTACTACTGTTATTATTATTCCTTCAAGTGCTGCGCCCCCCCAGCCCTCCCTCTCCAGTCCTACCCCCTCCACACCTCCGACCCCGTACAATGGCTCGGAGCGATGCCAATTCAAAATAAAAGCCACAAAGTTAACAAGCCTCTGTTTCTAGGAAAGAGCTGGGACTGTGTCCAAATGGGCGTTATCAGCCCTTCGTTTCCCAGAAGGGCTGCAGCGGACCCTGTGCCAGTTCCCCTGGCTGGCACCAGCAGCAGGGCAGGGGGAAGCACTGGTGTGCAGGCAGGCAGGCAGGACTTCTAGTTGGGGCGGCACATGTGAGCTGGCCAGATGTGCGTGTGGGGAGGGGGAGTGCTCAGTGCCCCCACCCTCCAAGCTCTAGCCCAGCTGTACGTACAGAGTCCAGTACGTGTGTGCAAGCCATGTGCTGCCAGAGCTGTGCATGCACCTCTGTAGGCCCTGGCAATGCTCCCTGCGTGGGGATGTGGTAGGTGCAAGCCCCGCTGCCAATGGGTGGCAGAAACAGCATCCAGTAGAGCAACTGGGGGTTCAGGCAGCAGCAGGGATTTGCAGCCCCTCATCCCCAGGGGCATAAGCCCCCGCAAGGAAGGCAGGCGCACCTTGGCAGCAGTGCTGGTGTCAGAGTTTTGGGTTTGCTTCTATACCCAGCTGCATCGTGCTAAATGCAAATGCCACTCCCAATGGTACCTGCCTACTCCCTGTGCAGGCACATGCGTGTCCTTCACACACATGTCCCTCGCGCACATGTGCCTGTGCATGCAGCTGGCTGCAGCCATGCAGGGCTGATGTGGGACACCCCAGCTCCACAGCTGAGCCTCACTGTGACACCTCAGTGGATTCTGAAAGACACGAAGACAGACTCCCTGTGGCCCCCCAGATAGCCTGGCTGGGAGCACTCTGAGACCCTCTGGATGTGACTGAAGTTGCCCTAGCCTGACTGCCCATCCAAGCCCTCCCTGCAATCCTACAGCCCTCCACAGGGACAGGCAGCCCATCTGGTCCTGTACGGAGGAGGACAGGCCCTGTGAGCCAGCCCACCAGCTGCAGCCATATCTGGGGGACATTCCCTCGCTGGGTGATGCTCTCTGCCGAGCACTTGTGGCCATGTCATCCTGACTTCTTAGCCAAAATTCTCACAGAGCTGATACACAGAGCAGCCTGGCTGGGTAGGATGGGACCAGGAGGGATGCCCAGCTCTGCCTGGGAGTACAAGCATTTCCGAGCAGTAGTTCCAGTGCCAGAGCAGGGAAGGTCTCATGGACCACACCATCCCCTGGCTTATCATCCCAGCCCCACAGCTCAGCCCTAGTGTGGCATGGCAGTGAGAGGGGCAATTTGGGGATGGGACGGTACCGTGTCACCACTGGCGAGGGAGTGGGGCTGCCCCTACGGGATGCATCCCAGGACACCCTGGGTCCCCTAACCATCCACTCTCCCTCCCTGCAGAGACAACAAGCGCTAGCACCTCCTCTTTCATGCCGCCCCCCACCACCAAGATCTGCGACAAGGGGGCTGTGGTGGGCAGTGGGGCCGTGGCAGTGTGTTGGACAGCTGGACTGGTCTTGGCTGCCTATGGTGTCCTCTTTATTTAGTGAGTATCTTCCAAACTGGGGGCGTAAGAGAGGTGATGTGGGTGCTGGGAGGGGGCAGGGATATGGGGACCTCAGGGGCTCCAGCATGGTTGGGAAGGGGGTGGTCCAACCAGGCTGTGGCCAAAGGGCATTGAGAACAAGCCATTTGGGTTTTTCTTGCAGTTTTTTTCAATGCACCAAATCTGGCTGCTTTTCCAGATTGAGTGTTCTGGTGGAGATCTCAAAAATGGCTTTTCAAACATTTTCCTGCAAAGGAGTCAGTCTTTGATGCCTCATTCTCAGCAGTCCTCCCCCCTTCCCACTGCTGTTTTTTAAGAGGCAAAGAAACCACGTGGAAGTCTAAGGGCTTTGTGTAGTGATGGAAGAAGAATTGTCTGAGATCAGAAAATTCAGAGATGCATCTCAAAAATACCCTTGGTTTAGCTTAGAACAGAGCTGGCAGCCTGCAGACCCCCAAAATGCCCCATTCCGCTCCGGGTCATGGCTGCGGTCTCATGGGTCCCCCCATCCCCATGCCCTTTCCCTGTACCCATGCTGCCCAAAGACTGGGGGATCGATTGTGGCAGCAGCCACGTGTGTCACTTTGGGGGATAAAGGACATGCCACCCATCCTTCGGTGCCCAAAGAGGAGCCATCGCAGGGCAGCTCCCGTGGGCGCAGGGTCCTTTCCTCTCCTCCAGCTGTGTCATCTCCACGCGTGACGTTAGCAGTGGCAATGGGAGAGGTGGTGGCACGCAGCCAGGGGTGGATGGGCAGGGTCCAGCCCTGGGAGGTGGAGGTGCTGGGTTTGGGCAGCTGGGTTCGGGGAAGGGGTGAATTACCCTATGGAAGAAGGCCAGATTCTGCTCGGTGTGTCCCCTTGGCGGCTGGGCACAGCTGAGCCTGGAGCGGGACGAGTGACTCCTCTCCTCCCTGCTTGCAGATCCCCATCTGTCCGTCCGTCCGTCGCAGCCCAGCGCAGACGCCTTCCCACCGCCCACCGCTGCCACCACCCCCCACCCTGCTGCCCCCCTCCCGGGTTGAGTCTCTTATCTCTTCGATTTTGCACACGTTGAGGACGTATCACACTTTTCGCCGTCGCTTCGGAGGAGGACAGAGCTGCCGCCGTCCCCTGGGGAGCTGCAAAATCTTCTCCCAGCCCGGAGCGAGGAGACGCACTTGTCCCCCCCCATCCCCGTCCCCCTTTCCCCAGCAAAGCGAAGCGAGCCCGGGCACCACACGGCAGCCGAGGACCCCGCTCATACAGCTAACCCCCCCATGCCAAAGACGTGCCCGCCGCCCCGCCGCCCACCCGGGTGACAGGGAGCGTGACGGCGCACCGAGAAAAGGGGATATGAAAATGGGGGTGGTGGTGAGGGGAATGATGTTCCCAGCTGTGTACCCCCATATGGCAGAAGGGGGTCTCCCAAGGACCGGACTCGCTCCCCCGAGCTCTTGACCGTGTGGCGAAGCTGGAGGGGTGCACAGGTGGGGGGTCTTGGTCCCCTCCAGGGGAATGATGGAGGGAAAAACTGGTGGCTTTCACAAGTGTGGTGAGGAGCAGGGAGCTGGCAGGGTTTTAATGGAGAAAAAAAAAGGAAATGAAACACCGATAAAACCCCCCTGCCCCCTGCCAATCACCTGGGAGAGCTGCCCCTCCAGCTCCCCCCCCCGCTGCACCCTGCAGGAGCCTTCGCCACCCCCAACCCCATCCCCACATCAGCCCCAAACTTTTAACCACGTTGGATACAGGGAATCGCCCCCATTGACGTCTTTGTCTCATTCTCCAACAAAAGCAGAATAGCTCTGCTGTTGCCTTTAGAGCTGGAGCCCTGCAGACCTGTCCCCCGCTGTCCCCTGCTGTCCCCCGCTATCCCCCGCTGTCCCCATGCCTGCTCTGCTCTCCTCCCCATCCTGCCCCAAGCCCTGTTTTGTAAAGACACCTCCTTTTGCCCCTGCCTGGACCCAAGCGCAGTATTTAATACCGTACGTCCTAGTATTCCCACTGTTGACATGCTGTATTTGAATTTTTTATAGATGTATATATATAAAAAAAAAAATCAAAAAAAATAATAATAGAGGGGATAAAAAAAAGCTCACACAGAGACAATGCACACACGCACACACACACATGCACCAGGAGAGACGGTCTTCATTAAATGATCATTTCATGATGACTGGCAGCTCTGGGTGTTATTTCCCCTCTGGCTGGAGTGGATGGGTTTGGCTGCCTGCTCACGTACGTGGTGCTGGCTGTGATGGGGAGGACATGGGCATGGCAGTAAGGGGGACACACGCACCCCCCCTGGAACCTGCCCCACGGCTTGAGCCCATAGCATCATCTCCCCAGGGGGTGAGGGACCCCAAAAGTGGCCTTTGGGACATCCTGAGAAGGTGCAGGGGGGGCTGCCCACCCCTGGATAACTCCTGATAATGTAAAGGGGACGGTTGTCACCACCCTGTGTGGTACCTGCACTGTGATGGGAAGGTGCCACATGTCCCCGTTCATGGGCCCTTGGGGATCTGATGTGTCCCTGAGGTCTGACAGCATCCTTACACCTCTCGGGCAGGCAGGAGTATGGAGACCTGCCTGTGCCCCGCTGCAGCCCAGAGGCTGGAGGTGGCACGTAGTCTCAATTAATGCACTTTCCTTGTCTGATTAATAATTTCACGTTAGGAAAATGTCACTGGCCCAGATGCTCTGAATTAAACTTCCATCAGGACAGGGCTTACAGAGACCCAGCGTGGGGGTGATGGGTGCAGCAAAGCACACCGTGTCGGTGTCTGGCCTCTCCCCATGTGCCTTGCTTGTGAGCACCAACTGGAGCTGCAGTTCATCCCAGGGGCAAAAAAAGCTCAATTTTTTTAGCAAATTGCCTGCCCAGTGCCCCAACAGCATCTCTCCAGTCAGCAGGTGGGTGGGTGGGTGGGTGGATGGATGGATGCATGGATGCATGGGTGGACAGATGGATAGGTGGATGAGTGGGTGGGTGGATGGGTAGAAGGAAGGATGGGGGTGAAGGAGCCACAGCCCTGGCTCTGCAAGGCCTGAAGGCAGCACCAAGCTGGTTGCTAGCTCCCACCAGGCACTTGCTGTGATTTTTACCATGCTGGGGCTTTATTAGAGGAGAGCTCAGTCCCACACAGCCCTGCCTGCGGCTTGGCTGTGCCGGCAGCAGCACTGCCCCACATGCTGGCTTGGTTCACTGGTTAATGTTCCATTACCAGACAACATGCTTCCGTCATTTATTAATGTTTCATTAGTGTTAAAAACATCTGGTAATTAATTATGCACTAATTATGGATTCACAGTGCTAAAAGCCAGGGTAATCTACCATAGCAGATGGCTCTTTGGGGCAGGGGGAAGGGACAGCTCTTAGCAGAGATGAAAATGTCAGGCCCAGCCCTTGCCTGAGGGAAGCATCCCAGACAGACAGATTGCCTTCATCTCCACCCAGGATCTCCATGCCTGGTCCAGAAACATGCTGTCTCAGGTTATTAAGCAGAGGAAACCTGTCCCTCTCAAGCTGTTTCAAGGACCCAGGGAGCAATGCTCTCACTGCCCAGGGCAGCTGTATGAGAAGCCATCTGAGAGCGGTGGCTTTCACACACAGCCCCAGGCACCCTCTGGCACCTGCAGCTGGCACACAGCCTGCCACTGGCTCTGGGATGCCGTTTATCAGCCCCTCCGCAGTGCCTGGCCAGATTAAGCAGCAGTCCATAAAGCAAGGGGTGTCATAAAAGCCCACTCATGAAGTGCCCCAGCAATATTATGTACAGATGTGCAGAGATGTTTCAAACTGGGGAAGGTCCCAGGGGAGCGTCCCTGCCAAGCAGAAAATCCATCCACTTAGCAGTATAAATCCATACAGGAAGAAAGAGGGAATTACAGTGCTCAGAGAGACCTGTGCATCGCATAACCTGAAATCCAATACATCAGCCGGGTGCAGCAGGTCCCTGTATCTTCCCAGCACACATGTGGCAGTAAATCCCACCTTAGGTGTTGTTTTCGGCTGTTGCTGATGCGAGAGCAGCCTTGCGCTGAGCTCCCCAGGCTCTGCAAGAGGGATCAGAAGTGTGGCTGGAAAGCAGGAGCTATTTCCTGGCCATGAGGCCTCGTAGGAAGCAGAAAGACCCATTGCTTGAGCGATGGGCTGAACAGTGGACTGGGTCGGAATCACTGCACCTCTTGCATCCTTTCCTGAGGCAGGTGCCAGCAGAGATCTCACCTTCCTCAACCCAATAGTTGGAGAAGCTTCCAGCTCCCACACCAGCCTCCCAGGAGCCTAGAGCCCCCAGGTGATAACAAGCAGCATATTTATCACAAATCAGGCTGACAGAGATGAGTTGTTGGGCTTTGATGGTGTACCACACTTTGGTGGATAAAGGATGAGCAGTGGGCATGGTGCTGTGCGTTTTGGCTCTGGCAGAACATTAGACAGTCCCAGGTGAGAGTAGGGAGGCAGAGGGGTGTGAAGGCAGGCTCAGCTGCCAAGAAAGCACACTGATAGCCGCACAGCCAGACCCAAGTGCGAGAGCATCCTGCCCAGCCAGATAAAAATGCCAGGGGGGATCCATCAAGCCAGTTGGCAGAGAATATCTGCTGCTTATTTGCACAAGGGTAGACCTGGTCCCCCAGGGGCAAACGTCCTCCCCCATCACAACAACAGGGAGAGGTGGGGGGTGGAGGCGAAAGCAGCAGAAGCTGGTGGAAGGTGGTCCCCAGGGTGAGAGCATGAAGAGCAGCATCTGCAAGGGGTGAGGATGTAAATAGAGTCAGCCTAACTTGGAGGAGCACAGACTCTCCCAGTCCTCAACTCGTAATGGTGTCAAGTCTAGCAAAATACAAGAGCCCACACCAAACCACAGGGTATTGGTTCAGAAAATGCCTACGTCTCCTGTACAGAGATGTAGCACTGGATGGCCTTGGCAGGTTATAGCCTTGCTCCCAGGACTTTCTTCCCCAGTGGCAGGAGAGATGGCTTAGACACCAGGGTCCCACCATGAGGAAAGGCTCCTGCCTACTCCCAGTGGTGCAGGAAAAAGCCCAGGAACTTTGAGCGATTTCAGCTACCACCACACAGAGACACAGACGGAGCTGCAAGTGGGGTCCCTGGGGGTAACAGCAGCCCTGAGCATCCCCACAGTGCTCTAGGGCAGAGGCTTGTAGCAGCAAGAGGTGACAGATGGTCACAGCAGACTGCGAATGACAGCCTTGGACCATCTTATTCCTTGGTGACTCCAGATCAGGACTTGATGCCTCTCCAGCAGAGGCCGTCTGTTGTTTGAAGAGCCTCAGAACAGTGACTCTCCTCTTCCTCATGTCCATCCTGAATGGCTCAGCCTCTGCCCTGGCACTGTGTTCTCGGTCCCCAGACACCTTCGCCTGCAGCCTCATGCTCTCCTTCCCCCCAGACCAGCTCTGACACCTCCTTGTCCCCAAGCTCCACTGTGGCTGGATGAGCAGCACCCGCCATTGCCTTCCCAGCTCCCCATCACCTCCCCAGTGCTGGGACCTCCCTGCGCACCTCCAGTCTGCCCCAGTCCCTTGCCTGCTCTGGCCAGTGTGACCCACACAGACCAGCTGTTCACAGCACCCAAACCTCCCTGCACGCAGACACAGCAGCAGAGCACAGCCCACCTGCCTCGGCTGCAGCACAGAGACCAGACCACAGCAGGGTCCCCTAATAAGCAATTGACTCCTTTTTCCTCCCTTTCAAGAAAAAGCCAAGCATTAATTCGGCTTCTGCCACTCTGTTTATCTAATAGCATCGCTGATTGATTGTCTTATTTATAACCCAGATCCGGTGTCTGGGCTGCTCATGGAGACGGGGTGATTGATGGAAATAAGACAGCCAGAAGGGGACTTAATGGAGCTGTGTGGCTGAGCAGCAGAGTAGTGGCTTAGGCATGAAATGAAAGTGTCTCCCAGAAGTCTGGGCTCCTCTTCTTCTATCCTGCACAGTTCCCGGGGAAGCTGCTAAGTGCTGTGAGAGAGCACTGTGCTTCCTACACCCTGCCAGGACTGATCAGGGACCATGCTCAGGTCTCCTCCAGCAGGCTGGAGGAGGACAGGTCAAGGGGACACAGCCAACAGAGACTTGGACTGCTTCCCAAGAAGGCATCATATAGTCTCTGAGAAGGTTTC